GAGCTAGTCCCAGACTAAAATGCATGTTTGAACTTTTAACTGAAAGCAACTTGTCAGTGCCATTGTTTTGTCTCAAGATGCACACCAGTATACTGTGAAGGGATTTGTATTTAATTGCAGTTGAATGCAAATTCAGGTGAATGCAGAAACGCAGAATTTTGAGCAGTGCTTGTTTGTCTGGGTTCATTTTATCTTTCTGGAACACTGCCAATATTTGATCAGATATAGGAGACCTACCGAGAGATTGAGTGGTTTGAGTTCACAAGCTTGTTTTGCTCGAGACCGAGAGACAACAGCTGGACATCAGTCAGCATGCTGGGATCTTTGATTCTCCTGTGGATATGCATCTTCTTCATCTTCCTCCTAGTCCGGATCCAAAGGCCGAAGAATTTTCCTCCAGGACCTCGTCCTTTGCCAGTTTTTGGGAATCTGCTTCATGTGAACATGGCCAATCCTTTGAAGGATTTGGAAAGAGTATGGCTTTATTTTATGTCATCTTAAGTTTAAACATTTCTTTTTTTTTCTTGTTTGTAAAATAATGTGTTGTTTTTTTTTAGTTTGCAGAACGATATGGGAATATTTTCAGTCTGTATACTGGATCAAGACCAGCAGTTTTTCTGAATAGTTTTAAGGTTATCAAGGAAGCTCTGGTGACAAAGGCTCAAGACTTCTCAGGACGGCCTCAAGACTTCATGATCAGTCATATCTCGGAAAATAGAGGTAACTCCAACTACAAGCTGTCTCAGCTAAGTAAATAACAGTCTAGCGACAGTTCAGTAAAGAGTGACTTACATATTAGTTAGACACAATGACTCTTTTGCTGCGCCAGCGAAAATACTTCCAACTGTACTGCATAAACAACTTGCCCCGCTCCTGTATCACTCCGCGTCGCATAAGCATGCACAGAGATTTAAAGAGTCAGTCCACAAGGTATTACGCACGCGCGCAACGCAACACAACAGGACTAATTAAAAGTAGGCCTACAGTTTACATCAGGATCAGGAGCACAATCCCCTCGATTTCACAGACAAGATTCAGGACTAGACCCAGACTAAAATGCATGTTTGAACTGTTTGAACTGAAAGAAACCTGCACTGGCACCTGTCAATTCCATTGTTTTGTCTCGAGATGCACACCAGTAGCCTAATGATTTTTTTCTAAGGCATGTTTATAAAAGCTAATTAAATATTCTAAATGAAAACTAAGGCCAATTCCTGGCTTAATCTAAGCCTTGTATGTGAAACAAGGTCTACATGTTATAATATGAAATAAATAAGCTGTTGGAATATCTTTAGTGCTAGAAACCCTACAACATTTAACTATAACATCATTTTACTAAAGGTGTTGTATTGGCTAACTATGGCCCCCTTTGGAAGGATCATCGACGCTTTGCTTTGATGACCATGAGGAACTTTGGCCTGGGGAAGCAGTCCATGGAGGAGAGAATTCTGGGAGAGATTTCACACATTGTTGCTTACTTAGACAAAAATGCTGGTATTTATTTAAATGTGTTTTTTTTAAAAAAGTTTTGATCGACAAGATGAAGATAATGCGATTTATTTATTTATTTATTTGTGTATTTATTTTATATATCAGCTGATGACAAGGAAAATGTCAATCTTTTTAATCGATTTTCATTTGTACAGGAGGAACTGTGAATCCTCAAAATATGTTCCACCAACTTGCATCAAATGTTATCGGCTTGGTTCTGTCCGGATCCCGTTTTGATTACAACAATAAATTCCTCCAGAGCTTCGTTCAGCTCTTTACAGAGATTGCAAAGATCCTCAATGGACCATGGAACATGGTAAGATTTTAGATCCATTAAATTTTCTATAAAGCCAATGATTAAACTATGATGTTACCTGCTATTGCTAATCAGAGGAAGTTGGTACAGTTGGCTAATAGGGGGAGGGACATTCTCATTCTAGAGAGCATCTGATTGGACAAAATTATGTATAGTGCAGTATGAGTCATGAATGTATAATTGGTCTTTTTCTGTCAAATTTAAGCCTGTATAACTTCTAAATATGTATTTTTGTCAACATCTAGAGGTTTTTATGCTATGTTTTTTAGATTCAATAATATTTATTATTCACTTGTGACTTACATTCAAATTTGGCCTCGCAATTTAGAGTAATTGCATATAAGATGGTATGTCCTTTCCTAACAGATATATGACACACTTCCTTTATTGAGAATCTTGCCCCTGCCTTTTAAAAAAGCCTTTGATAATGTGAAGAAGATAAAAGATATAAATATAAGTCTGATCGCTGAACACAAGAGCACAAGAGTTTCAGGAAAGCCGAGAGATTTCATTGACTGCTATCTGGATGAGCTTGATAAGGTGAGAGTTTTTCTTCTGACTTACATAAGAAGCGTCCAAACTTCTAAGACCAAATTGAAATCTGGAAATATTTTCTTGCAAATTGTCATGCTGATAATATAAATTGTCATTTTAAAAATAGAAGTGTTTACACTGGTGGTCTTAGACTGTGTCACCGCATGATTCTTGAACAAATGCACCATAGTTCTAGACTCAAATTAATGATGTCTTACATTCTCCAGATAAAAAATGATGGTTCCACGTTTTCTGAAGACCAGCTCATCATGAACATTTTGGATTTACACTTTGCAGGGACTGATACCACTTCCAACACCCTCCTAACTGCTTTTCTGTACCTCATGAACCACCCAGAGGTCCAAGGTCTGTGTTTTAGAAAAAGCACACAGATTTTTGCTTAATTTAAAGCAGGTTTAGGTTAAACCAGAGACAGAGCAGTTTCTACAGTTGCCATAATGCTCAGTATGGCAGCTGTAGGACGCTAGAACGGACATTACAGTTTTTAAGTCTGAATTGAACTAAAGAAGCTAAAGATGTTTTGAATTCTATTGCAAATTTGACATGTATGTTAACATATTAGCTAACTCCTTTCAGAGAACTTAAACAGACAAACGTGGCCTTGTTTTCTCACCAGCAAAATGTCAGCGAGAGATTGATGATGTTCTGGGGGATAAAGATCATGCATCGTATGAAGACAGACATGATATGCCGTACACACAGGCTGTGATTCATGAAGTTCAGCGCGTCGCTAACACTGTACCGCTAAGTGTTTTTCACTGCACCACCAAAGACACTGAGCTGATGGGCTACAACATCCCGAAGGTGAGGAAACTTGCCTAGAAACCAGAGTTTTTCCTACTTCAAATCAAATTTAAATTGTTTCTCCTCGGTCAGGGAACTGTAATCATTCCCAACCTCACTTCTGTACTAAAAGAAGAAGGCCAGTGGAAGTTTCCTCATGAATTCAACCCAGACAACTTCCTGAATGAGCAGGGCCAGTTTGAGAAGCCTGAGGCCTTTATACCCTTCTCTACAGGTAATCATTCAGAAATGTATAACATTTTTTTTGTGTTTTGTCTTTTCCAGACTTGTTCTGTGATCATCATGTATTTTACAGGTCCTCGTGTGTGTCTCGGTGAGGGTCTTGCACGTATGGAGCTCTTCCTGGTCATGGTCACTCTGTTACGCCGTTTCCAGTTTGTGTGGCCCAATGATGCCGGGGAACCAGATTACACCCCAGTGTACGGGATCACCATGACGCCCAAACCCTACAGGATGCACATCAAGTGCAGAGAGACCGTCCAACAATAAATCATAATGCCAAATATTTGTTTCCTTCTGCATAGGATATAATTTGATAAACAGATTATCTTTGAACATCTAATATTAGTGATAGAATTATCTACAAAAACTATGTGAGAAATTTGTGATTCCTGTTCATCTACGGTACCCATAATCCCAAAGTGGAATGATCATTCTCAACATTTATTTGTGTGTTTTCACCCCTAATAGGGTAATTCACTCTGAATAAAGACAAATCACATTAAATACTTTGACTTCTGTGTGTTTGTTCAACTAAGGAGAAAGCTGAGGCGCCAGTGGAAACTTTTAAAGGCTACACATGGTTTAAGGAAAATTATTATTTGCATATGGGTTTAGTAATCTACAAATATATGCAATCCCATCTCTTGAGAACCTATGTCGTTCATACAGGTATAGCTGTCATTAAAAGCCAATGGGTCTTACCTGTCTCTGAAAGTTCTCTCTCTTTGAAATGCCTCAAAGAGAGAGAACTCGACGCATGCGCGAGAATTGCGATCTCCTTCAACTACTTCAGTTCAGTTCTCGCGCATGCGTCGTGGAAATCTCTTGAAGTCTCGTTTCTGGCCAACAAGGAAGAAAAGGAATAGTCGAATAAAGTCGTTATTTTTGTTTGTTTTTTCGCACAAAAAGTATTCTCGTCGCTTGGTAAACTTATAGTTGAGCCACGGTAGTCACATGGAATATTTAAACATTTTCTTCATTGACTTTCTGGGCCGTCAAGTGTCATTCCCTTAGGAGCCTAACGTTATGTGGTAGTGATTCGGCTCTCAAATTTAATAAAAAATATCTTCATTTGTGCTCCGAAGACGAACGAAGGCCTTACGGGGTTGGTACAGCATGGGGGTGAGTAATTAATGACTTAATTTTTTTAATTTTTGGGTAAACTAACCCTTTAACATCCTCGCGGGCTTAACTCTCAAAAACGAGATCAATGACCAAATCACAAAAAAAAAAAAAAAAAATCTTCTTTACGAACAACAACAAAACTCTTATTAGTGAATCAAAAACAACGGATTTTACGAACAAAAGCACAACGAGCGACTCTTGAGAGTCATTTCTTTTAATGGAATTGTTCAAAAAGGCGAGTTGCAATTTTAAACCAGCCTAACGAATTGTTCGCTAAACAATCTGAAAGACTACATGTGTCGTTTGAAATCATAATTTGCAACAGATGATGTATGATATAATTTATATTCTTTTATTCCATACAAAGAATAAAACTAATCTTGAATTAATCCGGCCACATCATCGATCAAGATTGTTACACAATACCAGAGGTTTAACAAGAAAAGGTTTTCACAAAACAGCAAATGGATTGTTTTTTGCTAGATCATGACATTAGATTTGTGACTACCACAGAAAAAGAACACAAAATCAGTGGATTACAAGTGTTAGCAAATCTTGCATGCGTTTCCACAAATTAAAGTTGTCAGCTCTATTAATGCATTATAAAAAGAAACCACAGATTATTATTATTTTTTAAATATATTTTTGATCTCAAAACTATTTTAAATTTAACATACAAAGAAGTGCGAAAATCTGGCCCCTGATAAAATGCTAAATCCTTTAAAATGGAAACATGATTATCTCCCACCCAAAATACTGATGTTAAATCCTACAGTGATAACTGTATTTTCGAATTAATGGGGAAAAGGAGAAGATAAACCAAAAATACAATGAGAGGTTATGTACATCAAGTGTAAGTTGAAAACATGATTATGTGACATAACAAAGTATCATATCACGCCAATATACTCATGCAGTGTTTTCAAACCACGCTTGCTCAAACTACTCCTCTAACAACACACAAACCAGTTTAATACCACTTCAGTACCAAATCCTGTCAGAAACAACCTGTCACCACTTTAATCCAGCACGCTGACCTTTTATGTGCACCTAATGATACAACCTGTATGAAAACATAAATATACAGTGCATGCTGCCATTGCAATAATGCCATGCATTAGTATAAATGAGTTTCACATTGTGCGTATATCTGCATATGTACGGTACCTACAATTTAAGAAGGAACAGAAATTAAATTTTCCAGGCACATCAACGATGAAGCAATGGATATTTTTCCATGATGAACTCCTAATCAGCGATTGTTTTAAAAGCTCTATAACATCGTACCAGTTGAGTACCATATTGAGTTTCAAGGCCATTATGAAGGGAAACAATGAGGACGTCAACATTAAGCACAGAATTTTACTAACATACATATTTTAATCTTTTTTCCCCTCCATAATAAGCTGCTCAATGTGATTAAATGCCTTTTAGTATAATTTTGGTAGAAACTAAACATGTAAAAGGTGGGAAAAGGAGGCAAAAAGTGTGTGTTAAGAATCTCGAACCGGTCTAAAAAGGCAAGTTAGATACAAAATGTAAAAAAATACTCAATGCGTGACTATCATATTCACCGCAGGCACTTATATTAAAGCATAGCACCACAGACAAACACGGTCTGCAACCTCACTATGATTGTTCAAAGTGCTTTTTCATATCAAGCCCTGAAATTTGAATTCTATGTCTCCCAATCTGAGAACCTGCATCTCTGCTGCCACCAAGTGGACATTTTCAGCCTCAAGTTGTTTCCCGTTTTTGACAAAGCAGTAACCGCTGCTGACTGCATGCTTAAGGGTCTCATGTTATTGTTCAGCTTGGCTGAAGTCGTAGCAGAAGTTGAAATTGCTGGGTGGTTTGGGGATTGGCGGGGCCGTGTCTGGGATCGGGACATTTTCCAGGTCCAGGAGGCGGAGCTTGATTTCCATAGAAAGGAGAATCTCTAGTTCACTGCGCATGCTCTCGCTGCTCATCTCTTTCCCCAGAAGCACATTAAGCCCGTCCGTCCACAGACAGAACTTTGCGACAAAAACAGGACAAATAATACTTGTTTTTACAATTCATTTAATACCAGTTGAAATGATTTAATAACTTCCAGCAGTTCAGTAGTGGAAAAACACATTAAACTCACATCTGTTCTGGAAGAGGCGATGAAATTCAAGCTGTACTCCTCAACGTCATACGTGATGCTGAAAGCCAAGTCCAACACCTCCTGCGAAACCAAACACAGGAATTACAGTTTTACCATTCAGTGCAGTTCTTTCACAATAACACCATGAATGTGCATTAAGAACATTAATATGGTCAATTTCAGGGATGTACAATATACATTCACCTAAAGAATTATTAGGAACACCATACTAATACTGTGTTTGACCCCCTTTCGCCTTCAGAACTGCCTTAATTCTATGTGGCATTGATTCAACTCTTCGGTGCTGAAAGCATTCTTTAGAAATGTTGGCCCATATTGATAGGATAGCATCTTGCAGTTGATGGAGATTTGTGGGATGCACATCCAGGGCACGAAGCTCCCGTTCCACCACATCCCAAAGATGCTCTATTGGGTTGAGATCTGGTGGCTGTGGAGGCCATTTTAGTACAGTGAACTCATTGTCATGTTAAAGAAACCCATTTGAAATGATTCGAACTTCGTGACATGGTGCATTATCCTGCTGGAAGTAGCCATCAGAGGATGGGTACATGGTGGCCATAAAGGGATGGACATGGTCAGAAATAATGCTCAGGTAGGCCGTGGCATTTAAAACGATGCCTGTTAATGCGGTCTTTAGCAAATGAATACCCACGTTTCATCCTGTATAATGTTGTGATGCCTAAATTCATATTTATTTGGAATATTGAATAGAAGCCACTGATGAACATTAGCATCATACCTTGGTTTGTTTTCCCTTGTTCTCCTTCATATGGGGACAGTCTTTTCCAGTCACCACACTTTTGATATCTGCGACGGGAACTGAGGGGACATAAAAATGAAGTGAATTTTTATTGACAAAGAGGTCTGAGCTCATTTACTCAAAAAGAGTCTTGTGAACATGCTCATTCTAGAGGAGTTAGACTCAAGTGCACTTACTCTTTTCCTGAAGAGCCTCGATGGAGGGCGTTTCCGTCTCCTCATCCACATCTCCGTAGTGCAGGACTTTGAGATTAGGAGAGAGCCGACAATACCACAGCTTGTCTGAAAAACAAACAAAAAAATGACTGAAGGACCTGATAATAATTTTCTGATGCCTTCCTCAGAGGATCCTGGCATCTCACCTTGCCTCCGTCGGCTGCTGATCTTGCGGAAGAGCGTCCCGTGACACAGACGGTTTAGTCTCTGCTGTCTGATGAGTTCCAGAAGCTCCGGCTTCAGACGTTCCTTCAGCTCACTGGACACAAAGACAACAAGAAAACTCATGTGATGGAGTGATATAGTGATAGCAGAGCCGTCATTTTTGAAACAATGTTTCATACCTTTTGCAAAACATTTGTTTCTAACCAGGGATTCGGAGAGCGGATTTATGAAAGCTTGTTTCCACCACAGACTAACACAACAGTAAAAAAAAAAGAAGAAGATTCCCCTTTTTCCCCTCACAATTGTGAGTTTATATCTCACAATTCAGACTTTATTTCTCACAATTGTGAGTTTACATCTCAAAATTGCATGGTATAAAACCTATAATTGCAAGTTTACACCTGCAAGTTAAATTTGAAAATTAATTCCTCATTTTTACATTTCGCAATTTTTCACAAAATATAAAGGTTATGCTATATTTTCTCTCACAATTCTCAATAATATCTCGCAATACTGAAGAAAAAAATCTGAATTGTGATAACTGTGAGAAAAAGGCTCTACCTTTTTTCACTCAGTGGCAGAAACAAGCCTCCACCTGTGTCAAACTGCCAAAATTTCAGCAAATACGGCTTTATTTCATTTCATAACTCTTTTGAAACAGTTGAATCAGTGTCTATATTGCTTTTTTCCGATCTCGGATCAGTAAACATTTTTAATGACGCATTTGTTAATAGTTAATGGTCTTTAATTGGATGATTAACACAGCTCTTCATAAAACAAAACAAAAAAACAAATCAATCAAATGACAGATACTCTTTATATTAAATGGTATTTGCGAAACTTTTCATGTCAATCGCAATTGGTCTGTAAAGAGGGGTTTTGTGTGCTTGGACTGAGTTTGCGCCGTTTTGACCTGCAGGCGTCACCGGCGTCTGCCCTTGAGCATCTCAGCGCAGTGAATCATTTTGTGAAGCAATTGGCTCAACTGATTGAAAGCTTGGTTTCTCCCATCTCTACTTACAGCACAGGTGGAGCGAGCGTCTCCTCCTGGTGGAGTCTCTCCGTCTGTCTGAGTTTCAGAATCTCACTGTAGTTCAATGCGTTCACCTTATTCTTGAAGAGCTCCAGAGACGTGGGTTTACTGGACAGAGTCCTGGTGATCTGCTCCCGGACAACCTGCATCACCTTTAGACAAAGAACGAGAGAAAATGATAGAGATTGTTTAAAGAATCTGATATTATATTTGCAATGTCTGGTGTGAGTCCCACAGTGTGTCCATCTCCTCCAGTAAACAGAGACTGCTTGGCCTCACTCACCCCTGAACAACATATTTCTAGGATTCAGGTCAAGAAAAATCGAAAAGGGGAGATGGGGGGCAACTCTAAAACAGCAGGGGAGAAGAAACGGACAATGAAAATATGGGTCTCTCTTGAAGAGAGCGTCCTGCTGTGACACGCTCAGTCAACCGGAAGAGAGGGAAGGTTAGCCGACAACAACACTGATCACTTTAGACTTTGAGGTGAATGTTAATGTCTTTTACAATTTTTTGTAATTCTAAACCATATTCTGGACAAATGTGGGCAAAATAGTTGATTTATTTTTAAAAAATACTTCCCTTAATCTGAGCGGTACAAGACTTGGCTACTTTGCCTCCTAAACACACTTTTTACACACTTTTTGACTCAATTCTACAATGTTAAGTGGGTGAAAAAACCCCTCCTTAATCTTGTATTTGGGTCAAAAATGGGCACCCATAGAAATGAATGGGAAAAACTGTAATTTAGAGCATTCTAAAATAAGCCAAAATAAGACACCAGGTGACAGCAAAGTCGCTTCATCTTTAGGGTTTAGCTCTAAGAACTTATTGGAGTGATATTTTAATGTAGTTAAAAATAAATAAATAAATAAATAAAACATAAATATAAGCACAATTTACATAGAAAATATGGCACTTTTTAAAGTAAATAAATAAAAAAAACCTCCAAAATATTTAAAAAAACACTATAAATGGATAGACAAAACTTTATCAAAGACAGTGATATAACATTTATAATAAATAAAAATTAGGATCACACCTGAGTCCTCTGTGCCCACATTTGTCCACAATTACAGGATTAAGGGCCATAAAGTCAATACGGTTTGAGGGCTAATATTGTTTTGTATTTCTCAGGACCATAACATGTAAGTGTATTATTCAAGAACTGATGTTTTGGAAAATGGCAATCAATTAATTTGAGGTATTTGTATGTTACTGCATGTCTAATTCTGCAGATTTGGCCAAATATATTTTGCAGAATATGTAAAAAACAAATAATAATAATAAATAAAAAACAGCAGGGGAAAAAAACTGATTATCTCTGGTCCTGCAAATGACTGAATTTAAAATATCAGATTGTGGGATTTGCTGCCCCTATCTGGTAAAAACAACAACTCACAATCTCACAAATCAGCCCAATACAGCTGTCTTACCATAAGAATATTACAAATTCGATCATTTTTAAGATTTTTTTTTTAAGAAATTTAGAATTTTCAGTATCATTACTCAGTCTCACATGACAAACTTCAGTGTCACATGACACATGACAAAACTTTTCTAACATTATAAATGTCTTTACTGTCACGTTTGATCAATTCGTTCTTTCTGAATAAAAAATTCTCAAACTTTTGAACAGTAGAGTATGTGACAGACTTTCAGATTTTCAGAGTAGTGACTCAACAAATAATACTGCCCACTTGGTCAAATAATATAATTTTTGTTTAATTGCTCCTTCTTACTGTATGTCACTCATAACATGAGTTCTACATTTTCATTTCAGAAATTTTGTACATTTTGTAATTTGTTGTACATTTGACTAAATGGTTTAATATAAAGTTGACATCAATTTTTTTTACTAAGTGCTGAGAAAAATATTTTCAAGATTTGTTATCACAACATATTTTCTTTTATCAAATCAACTTTATAATTTATTTAGTTGAGATAACTTATTATTTTGAGTTTCTGATGATTAAATTAAATTAATCTCCTTCATTGTATTAACTCACTTTTTCCAGTTCAATCAACTTAAAATTTTAAGATAACCAGGTTACTTACTTTATTAAGTTAAACCAACAATATTTTTTACAGTGTAGTAATCACAACATTTTTTCTTTTGTCAAATCAACTTAAATAATTTATTTAGTTGAGATAACATATGATTTTGAATTTCTGATGATTATATCATTCTCCTTCGTTGTATTAACTCACTTTTTCCAGTTCAATGAACTTAAAATTAAGGCAACCAGGTTACTTACTTTTTTAAGTTAAACCATCAATATTTTTTACAGTGCAGAAATGGTTCTCTTCACTATTATCCATTTCATTTCCATCTACTATGCATAACATCCTTACAATGTAAAGACTACGGCACTTGTCATCAACAATGCAATAAAGAGTTAAATACTATAAACAACATTGCAACTCGTACATATATGCACAACATACCGATAGCACCTCACATCATACATCATCCTCAATATCTTGGTTATTGAAATAAAAAGAAAAACAGTACTACAATACAGACAAAACACTCACCCTACCTCAGCCTTGGTAAAAGCAGCAGCTGTGGTCCCTTCACAAACACAGTGACACTGTGTGTGTGTGTGTGTGTGTGTGTGTGTGTGTAGGTGTTTGGGTGTGTGTATGTGTTAGAGAGACTGTATGGTCCCTCCCTCTAGATGCCCCCCATTAAACTCATACACATCCCTTTAAAACACACACACACACACACACACACACACAGGCCTCAGCAAAGCAGTTCACAGCACAATGCTAGCAACACTTAACTGGCGTTAAAGAGAAACAGCATAGTCAGGGTGTAAAGATAGTGGGAAAAAGCAGTGAATAGAGTAAGTTTGATGAGAAAACACGTTTGATGAGTCATTTCCCCTTCGAGGCAAAATAACAGTTACTTTTCTCATGTCTGACATCAAGAAAACTGTTGAATTGTTCAATATGAGCCACTTGTTTCTGAACATTAATCCCAGAATAAAAGGGCGGGCTTCCATTGAAAACACAATTTAGACATTAAAACACAGCTATTTTTGGGATGTGGTTTACTGTTCAACTGTATTTCTGCTAGGGAGCGGGATTCTTTTTGTTCTTCTAATACCCCTTTATAAAGTCGCTGCCCATGAGGTCGGTGTGGCGGGGGCGACGGTCAGTGAAAACAAAAGACAGGCCGGTCAGCTGGACACTCGCTCCATCCCAAAGGTCACGAGGGTCACAAGGTTTATGGCCTGAAAGCATTTATTAAATGGAGGTCTGTTTTGTTGCACCGCTGAATAGTTGGAGGCTTTCTTTAACATCAGAAAAGGAGACGTAGCAATTTAGGGAATGTTAATACACACAAAGGCACTTAAAGGAGTCTGTCTCTTCAGTCTAGGAGCAGCATGCTTGTCATTCCACCATCTTGACGTTTCTCAGACGCATCCAGATGAACCGATCAATATATCTATTTGTTCTATAAACTATAAATCACTGCTGCAGATGGTCACTTCTCAGATAGATCTATTGTGACTCAGTGACAAATTATAAAGCTTTCAAGAATACACTTTGATCTTATAATGATAGGCAATAACAATAAACCTTAAAAATGCACTAGTTTTGGATCTTTAAAGTCAACATGAAACAGTGACAGATAGATGGACGGATGGATAGGGGATATTTATTTTATCCAACAGGAATTGTTTGAAGTATGAAATGGAGCCTCTTTTGACGACAAAAAAGACGAAAGTGTACAAAATAAATTTATTTTGTCTATTAAGCAGTATCATTTTAGTAATATTTATATACTATTATAATATTTAATACTGTTTTAAATTAGCTTTTATTCTTATATTTTCAGTTTTCATTTTAATGTAAGATTTCGTAAATTTATGTTCTTGTCATTTGTATTAGTTTTTTAAATACAAATATTTCATTTTAATTACGATTTTAATTTGAGTAAATTTAGTACTTCAACTTACTTTATTTCAGTTTGTTGTATATTTAATAATATTTAAATAAATATACCCAATATTTAATTCAGCTATATTTTTAATGAAAATAATAATTATATATATATATTATATATATATATATATATATATATAAACTTTTATAATTTGTGTCCAATTTAACTTCATGTTGACTTCAATACATCATGGACTGCAGAATTTTCCTTGTCATTTTGAAATGTTTTCTGGAAACTGCGCAGGTAATTTGGAGGTTATTAAGATTTAACACAATGACACAATTTTAAAAACTTGACCCATCATGATAAATGCCAGTGTCAGCTATAGTATTACATTAATCATAAAAGAGGCTATTTACATTGCAAAGTCTTCAAGGTACAGTAGCAAAAAAGCCATTTTAATTCTGAGGCTTAGTGAGAGGGTGGAAAATGCTTCAAGCCTCCTATAAAACTAATGTGCAACAATCTTTGGTGCAAAAAAACAAATACTAAGTGGGAAAATAAAGAGAAAGTCAAATGCTATGATACTGTAAAAATACACTAGTTTCAGTAACAGCAGGCCAATATACTTTTACACTGAAATGAAAGAAGATGTGGCACAGAAGCCAAAGAAGAAGCACAGTGATTGTAAATGTTTTGATCTACCTTATCAAAGTCTTCCTGCGTGGCTCTCATCTCTTTCCAAGTCTTGTTGAGGAGCTGAATGCAAATGCAGAAAAGCTCCTCCAGCAGTCGGTCCTGAGCGAAGAAGATGGGGTGATAGTCCGAGCCGGTCTCAGAGGCTGCGAAAGAGACATGAGAAAGATGAGTATATGAAAACTTATGACAACAACATAAGCATATCAGCACATTAATATGTTAGAATGATTTCTGAAGAATCATGTGACACTGAAGACTGAACGAAAATTCAGCTTCGCATCATAGAAATAAATTATAATTGAAAGTATACTAAAACAGAAAACCATTAGTTTAAATTGTAATAAGATTTCACAACATTATAGGTTTTTTTTCTGTATTTTTGATCAAATAAATGCAGATTTTATGAGCCTAATAGTCCTCTTTCAAATATATTTATAACCTAAGTTCTAAAATCTTCATCTGATCATTGTCACCATCTCCATAGCTGAGTTAGTTCACTCACGGGGTTCTCCGATGCGCAAGATCTCACACAAGATGAGCGTGAGCTGGATGCTGCTACGGGCAAACGGACACTCGTGTTTGTCCTCTCTGCTGCTGTTCTCCAGAACAAACTGAGACAGTAAAACAGAGACTTATGGGTCAATGCATAATGATATAGTGATGTACACTGGCCCCAAAAAGTCTTTGTCTTGAATTATATAACAAAATATCCATGTGGGCTCACTCACCCTGCTGTAAGCATCAGGGTAACGGGAGGCAAAATACGCCATGGTGTCCAATGCCAGGAGACCCGGAGGACACCGGCTCAAGTCCTGACCAGGATTACTGTTATTCTGACAAACAAAGATAACTACAATCATACTCTAAATTAGGCCTTGAGGTTTGTTGTGCTATCTTCACACTTCTACAATTTTTTTTATTTTTAAAAACTCACAGAGAATCCGAGCTTCTTAAACTCTTTAGCGCAGAGTGACCGTCTACGTTCATTACTCAGACCGCTCTCGCTTTCTGTCTCAAACGCGGCCTGCCGCAACCCGTGGAGCATGTCCCTCTGCTCCTAAAGGATATGGGAGAAATGTGTGTGAGAAATAAAAGTGACTGTGCGACTCACTGAGAAATCAAATGAAGACACAGAATGAAAGTAAACCTGGCTGTAGGAGTCCAGAGGCGTCCTCATACGGGGCTCCAGGTGGTTTAGACGCACCATCTGCAGCACATAGAGGTAGTGGGCCATCTCATCTCCTACTGAACTAGAGCTGTGGATGATGTTCTGAAAACAGCAACAGTTGTTAAATCGTATTTGCTATTATGCTTTTTCAAATATTGCTTTTCATGTAGTAGTACTGGGTGGTATACCGGTTAATACCGAATACCTGTTTGTTTTCGTTATGATATGATACCACAATAGCGGTGTATGAAGCTTTAATAACGATCGGAACGCGGCGTGGAAACCGTTTTAGACACTGTGTGTTTATTATGAGAAAATTAAAGTGTTTTTGACCTTGGATGCATGTAAAACTAATTTTAGGAGTCTTCCAAAACAAGATAAGGAACTTTAAAAAAAAAAAAAATAACAGGGGCACTTTAACATTTATATTGTTTCAGAAGGCATGTACAGATTGTGACTGTAACAGGACAAAATAGGAAGTATATGAATAGACTAGAGCTTCAAAACTTTCTCACCTTGTGAATATACTGTCGTAGGTTCCTCTTTTCAAGGAAGTCAAAGAGCTCCTGAAACATTTAAAAATACTATAAAAGAGTGCAAATAACCATTCAATTTCAAAATAAGCCATATACTAGATTTATTAAAAAAAATTAATTAAAAAAAATCAGTGAATTTTCTGATTTTCTGAATTTAAACTAGTCCACAAACCAACTACCTGCCCATGTTTTATCATCAGACACAAAAATACACACTATTGTTCAATTGTTGGAGGTCAGTAAAGATTTTTACATAATATTTATACCAGTAAGTTTTAAATTCTCACCAAAGCTGATTTATTTAATCAAATATACAGTAAAAACAATAACATTGTGAAATATAATTTAAAAATAGCTTTAATATATTTAAAACATATTTATTTATTCATGTGATTCTGAAGCTGAATCCAAAATAGCTCTCAAGACAATAATATACCAATAATCAGCCTTTAACTAAAAAAGGTTCTTTATTTTGTTTGCACTATTGTAATCCCAACAGACAGTGTGAAAAACCAAGATGTAAGAGAGACAGAACACTAACCTGTCTGTCTGCCTCTCTACCAGCCTGCAGCATTGCCATCAGCAGAGCCATGGCCTTAGTCTGCAGCTGCTGGTTTGTTCTACAGTGCATTTGGACGAAAGAAAAAGAAAAAAGGAGGAATAATGAAAATCATTTATGTTTGAACATTGATTTAAAGGTACACAATTTTTTTTTTTTTCAAAATAGGCTTGATGAGGTAGTATTTGTTACTGGTGTTAATGGTACTCAGTATATTAATTTACTGGTGTAAATGCTTTCAGTTGTTTTTTAACCGCTTAGATAATTAACCCTTTAAATATCACAATGCTAAAAAACACATGCAACTCTTAAACATGATACATGTCTACAGCATGAACAACACCAAAAGGTATTTTCTGAATGAGGAAAAAACATTCACTTGCATGACAAAGGAACTTAAAAAACGAACTTAAAAAAAAAACAATAATAATGTTGTTCAAAAAAACAGCATCATCATTGTCATTTATCTGGTGCATTTATACTTGTCTTCCGCATCCATTAAGTAAACATTACAATACTGCAAAAAAATTATAACAGACAAATAATCAAGCACTCTTCCGTACTTACACCTGAAGATGGGAGAGGAGTCTCTCGAGGGTGACTTCGAGTTTGACCTGGTTGAACAGACTACTGCTGCTGAGCACCATGCTCTCCAGGATAGCCAGCGACACCTGCTGGATAGACGTGTCCAGCACCTTCGCATTCACAAAACCGGCAATCTGAAAAACAAACATGACTGAATAGGCAACAACTGAGAAGGTAACCAACGAGTTTTGTCATTTTGTAAAGGAAATCTGGTAAGAGGCTTGTGTAATGTTCACAGTAAGCCATTATTATGTATGACAGGGTGAAAGGGTATACATGAGATAAATTGCAATAATAATTTGTTTTATTATCATCATTATTATTTTAATATTTAAAATATAAAAAACAATTAATTAATAAATACACTACTATTCAAAATACTGGAGTAATGATGACGAAAATTCAGCTTTAATTCACACAAATAAATTACATTTTAAAATGTATTAAAATAGAAAACCGCTTTTTTTTATTGTAATAATATTTTGCGATATTACTGGTTTTAATTAATTTATCATCAAAAAAATATCAAATATATCACCCCAAACTTTTGAACGGTAGTGTATATAAATAATTTAAATAATTATTAATAAATACAAGGCATAGCATTTTATAAATTATATAAATTGTGCCTGCAGAATGCCACAACCGACCAATCAGAATCCAGCATTTAGAAAGCTGTGTAATAAACACATCTAATGACAGACGGATGGTTTGTTACAGTATCCATACTGTATTATGGATGTGAAGGGAGTAGCTTCGCACCTTTTTGATAAAGACACTGGACAGATTCTCCCAGGACACAATGCCATGATCCATGAGCTCCATGAAGGCAGTGAGAGTGTGTGTCATTATCAGAGGAGCCCTGGAGAAAGAAAAATCATACTTTCACCGTTTGATCTTTATATTGGGCTGCAATAAAACTCTAAGCTGGAGAAATGGGGCAAAGACAGGCAGGAAACTGACTCATGAGCCTCCTCCACTATCTTGACAAGCAGGGAGTGTCCATCTCGACTGATAAACTCTTGGGCGAACGTGATGTCGGTGGAGACAGTGGCCAGCAGCTTCAGGGAGTCACAGCGCACGCCGGAGTCTGAACACTGAATGCCTTTATACAGATCTTCAGCGTGACGGCCCTGACAAACACATTGTTATAAAATCATCAAGCAAACATGGCTATTACATGGTACTATGGTTGTGTACATTTAGATTCTAACACAAAGCCTGAGTGAACAGATGCGTTTAGATACACTAAAGTAGTTAAAGGTGCCATGTGTAATATTTCTGAGGATCTTTTGACAGAAATGCAATATGACATCCATAACATGTTCTCAGTGGTGTATAAAGACCTTACTCAATGAACCGTTATGTTTGTATTACCTTAGAATGAGACATTTATCTCTACATAACCACGGGCACCCCCTTCTTTGAAGGTCGACATATTGTGTCGCCCAAACAGCACTACAGAGCGCATTTCGTCACTACTTTGAAAGAGAATCAGCAGAAACCTAGAAGCTAGCCATAGACACTGACGATATCTCTTCGAAAGGGAGGGGTGAGCAGTGGGCTGAGCCCTTAGTGCAACTCGCAAACGAACCGGTAGATGCCGCTAAAATCTACACACTGCACCTTTAAATATTGTCGCTGTCAAAATATCATAAAAACACTTACTGGTGCTTTGGTTAAATGCAGGATGCTGCCGTTTTTGATGTCCAAGCGGTTCTAGAACAAAAGTCATAAAGCAGTCAACAGTCAGTGTACAGGAAGTGATACTGCTATTATTAGACTTCATTATAACTTGCACATATAGTATGTGTGTAGTATAGAGACAGACAGTTAGACAGCAAAAAACAACCTCCTGAGACGGTTTTGGTAAAAAAATAATATTAACTAAAAAAAATCTAAACATAATATTTCATATTTATATGTTATGTCCTCTGTAATGGACACATTTGGTCACTAAATTAATTTCAGTCATTTTTAAAGATCAAGGAGGAACTGTTGTCCTGGTGAAAACTCTAAACATTTGGCATCTCTGAAAACGTATCTCTTTACAGGACATCCAGACTTAAAACTGTGACGTGTGGTGTCAGAAAAATTCACTAAAATTCAATAAGACAGACATAAAGAGAAAAATAAAGAAAATTACAGAAATAGAAAGACAGAGGAAAATTACAGAAAGAAAGAAAGTCTTAAGACCAGTGTAGATTAAATATATCAGGGGAAACTTCATGTTGTGTTTGTCTTTATACATATTGTATCATTATTGTGGTGCTCTATGATGCTGGAATCTACTTATTAGGTGTTCAAAAGCCCAATTGGAGCGCAGCACAAGGCTTGCTGGTTTATGTGCACAATCAGAAGTCAAGCCTTTGCCTCAACTTGTCTGGGAATTCACTGTTTCCACACTCTCACTCCATGCACACACACACTGTCTGTATTCTATGGATGTGATTCTGAGAGCTGATGATGCCCGGTTTTAATGTGCTCTCATTCATTAGATGATACAAATGAATGAGAGCACATTTAAACCCAGTACCATCAGCTCTCAGAGACACATCCATTGAATACAGACAGACAGAAACAGCGCAAACACAACATGAAGTCCAAGTCTGACCCCACCCAAGATCAACAAAAAATACATAACCAGAGCAAATGACATCATCGGATTAAAGTCCACACACACACACACAGACTGAAGATGATGGAAATGACCTACAGACTCAGTGATGTATGTCTGGATCCCATCTGCATACTGGAGAGCATAATTGTCAGTCCCCGGAAGATTCCACCTTCAAAAAGATAGTACAACACTCTTTACAAAAACAGCTATTTTTCATCATGGACATTTCAGCTATGGAAAAAACACGCAAACACATCTGGAGTCAAAAACACAGACTTACTTTTCGCAAACCTCTTTTATGACGCCAGTGAGGGGCTTTTTCTGAAACAGATATAAAAAAAAATATGATGCTTTTTTTGTCTGGATCTATTAGTTTATTAAAAAAAATATGTTTAAAACACAATTCATAGATCCAATGATTTGAATACAACTCTTGTGATAAGCATGTTAATTTCTGAATGAAACATTTTGTTATTGAAATGAATGAACTAAAATGATTGTTTTTGTTAAGCTGAAATAAAGCTTTACATTAAAAATGTACACTTGAAAAACAAACTAATTAGAAACAGTGCCTTGACAACTAACTGACAATAAGTGGAAGTTGAAGTAAGTTAATACAACGCCAAAACTTCTCCAAAGTCAACAACTGAAATATCTCATAATTTGCGGCAGCTCCTGTGGCTCACCGATTAGAAAGTTTAGTGTTTGGGTGGTAGACCAATCGGTGGCCTGTAATTTGTGGTGAATGGCCTGGCAGCGAGTGGAAGTGCTGGGAATGGCGAGGAAGTGGAGAAGGGAAGGTCACTGGGGGTTTGAGGTTCTTTCTAAACTTTAAGTACCAATCAGAGTCACACAATGGGTTCATTCATTTTAAACTAGTTATTTGATGGTTTAGAAAACATAAATGAGAGTTTCCCTGACAATGGCTGGGTCCTCAAGACAATAACACATTCTGTTAGGACGTCCCAAACAATGGGATCAAAGCCTCTGAAGATACAGAACATGCTCAGCATTTGTCCACCCGATGTTTCGACTGGGTAGACGGCAATAACAGCTTATTCAAAACAATTGGGAATGAACTAATTGGTTATGATTTGTACGCAACAGAAATTCCTTGATCATATAGACCAAAAGAAGTTCAGTTACAAATGTGTTACAAGATATTTTGCATCTATAACATATGAACCTTTTATAATAAGAAACTTATTTATAACAATTAGGAGTTTATAACAATAAACAGGCTTCCATTTTCTCACAAATTGAGTTTTGCTTCACTTACAATTTTAAATACAACAAAGTAATATGTATCGAGAGCTGACTTTGATATATACAAACATAATATAAATTACTAAAATATTTTAATAATTAAAATAATTAATAATAATTAATAATAATAATTTCCTTCAGAAATTAGAAATGCATACATGTTTATATTTCTGTGTTACATATCCATATTTCTCTTTACACATTTTAATCATTTCAAATCATCATTTAATACACATTTATTGATTATTCAGACAAGTTGTAACGAGTGAGAATGAGTCATTCTGAATCTGACTGCATTCAAATTCAAGTAAATTCAAAGTGAAAGTTGCTATTACCAAACTTAAACTTGTAACACAGTATGTATACATCTAACTTCCTCATAAAACCCTTGGTCTTTATGTCATTTATCTGTGTGAACTTCAGTATGACACTGAATGAACAGTGCTGTTATTCCTCAAATGCTGACTGTCGTGTCGACGGGTTTCGGACGTTTGCATGAACATTGGTCAACATCCCTTTTATGACAGGAAGTGCGTGGCGGCTCACCTGGTCTAGCTGAATGAGCTGCGGGTATGCGCCCGGCATCTGAATGGCAATCTTTACTATATCCTTTTGCTGCGGCATTTTGAGAGACGAGCGTCTACAACTCTGAAAGAGAGATAAGGGGTAGAAATGCAGATAATAAATACTAAAAAATGATGTACAAGTATTCAAACGCTTAATGGTCTGTAAAGCTTGAAACGGTACCAACCTAACAAGTATACTGACATTTCAAAACATACCAAATGCCACAAAGGGTGATATGTACAGGGACGCTAAATAGGTCACTAATTCTATTTCAGGTTGACTCTGTTTTCTGTGTTCTTCCTCTTTTAAAGAAGAACTTGTGTGTCTCTCTGTTGTGCTTTATATTACTTTAACTCGGCATTCTGGAATTAATAGTGTACTAATATGTGCTCCTACATCAGCATTAAGTCTAGTCCACTTTGCAGATAATCCTGGTCCAGAAATGTCCACTCAGACAAAAATGGCCAACCATAGTTAGTTTTACACACCGTCCTACAAGAGTCTTATTAGACTTTGTGACCCATCCAAAAAATATTGATTAATCCAAGGGCAATTAAGGCATTTTCACACAAAGAAGGATAACTGTATTCGCGTTCACATATAATATGACAATATTGTTTATTTATTAGAGGTCTGCCACTTTAAATACTCAAACAAAATAGAAACTCATTGTTGTGGACTTCACTATTCTCATGGAATTGGAAAGATTATTACAGTTTTATAGTAAGTTTTCATCCTTGATGTGGACTATGGAAGTCAATGGGGTCCATCAACTGTTTGGCTAACCATATTCTTCAAAATATCTACTGTGTTCAGAAGAAGAAAGAAATTCATACAGGTTTGGAACAACTTGAGAGTGAATACATTTCTGGGTGAATGATCCCTTTAAAGACAAAAATGCGAATGTTGTGATCATTTACACACCCTCATGTCATTCCAAATGGGGTCCAAAACAATTATTTTGTTCACAAACAACAGACATATTTTTCAAAATAGCTTTTGTTTTCCAAAGAAAAAAGAAAGTCATACAGGTTTGGAACAACATGAGACGAGTCAGTAAATGATCACAAAGTATTCATTTTGCGCTGAACTAGACCTATCCCTTTAGGGCCAGCCAATCAGCATGAAGCTTGTGATTTCAGCCAGCTCCTGCTTTTTTTGCATGTAATATGCATCCGGTAGTCAGGGAACAGACTGTGGGCGGCCTGTGAAAGTGCCATAATTGCCCTGCTTCATTAAGGAGCCTCTGCCGAATTGTTAAAACAGAATCAAGTACTTCCATATGTGTCCTTAGAAGACTTCCCATTGGAAGGGGAACCAACAGGACCCATCGGACCCAACAGCTGTAACTTCTATCATATCTCCAAGATTTGTGCGATTATTAACAGAAAGATCACTTGTTCAAGAGATAGTTCACCCAAAAATTAAAAACTTCCTCGCCCTTAAGTCGTTCCAAACCTGAATGAGTTTCTTTCTTCTGCTGAATACAAAAGAAAGACATTTTGAAGAATGTCAGTAACCAAACAGTTGATTGGACCCTTTGACTGCCTGCCATAGTATGGATCTAAAAATGCTGTGAAAGTCAATGGTTCCACACAACTGTTTGGTTGCAAAGTAAACATTCCTCAAAATATCTTCTTTTATTTTCCACATAACAAAGAAATTCATACAGGTTTGGAACAACTTGGGGGTGAGTAAAATGGTGATCATTTTCTTTTTTGGGTGAACTAACCCTTTCACTCAGTTTGATAATAATAATCTAAACCACATGACTGTGAAAGTCCACACATTAATGAACAGCAGATTAAACTACTTTTAAGACCTTCCGTCTAGGCTTGGGATAAGAACTGCTGAGTCCGATACAGACCGAATGTTTGTGTTTCCCAGACTCCATTCCCAGCATGCCTCAGCACGCTCAGAGAGAAGTTGTGACAGCACAGCCCTCCATACACTATTTTTGGGGTTGAGAAATGGCTGCAACAAGAAAGAAATGGTCAAAACGGGCTACATCGACTTCTTTAGGGTCTTCTGACAGCATTCCCAACTGATCCTTGCCCAGTGTGAAGCATGAGCATGTCTGATACAGTCTGATCTCCAATGGGAGTGTATGGAGGAATTCAGGCTGCCTGGAATTTTATCCATGCCCCCCTCTGACAGACCACCAACTATCACACACACTTTTTCTGCCAGGTTTGATTTCATTTTCTCAATCACACCCTCCTTCAGCAAATCCAAAAGTTCAAGAAAGATTATTAGTCACATGTTTCAAAATTTCTTCCGCGTGGTTGTGCATATTAACCAGTAACAACTTGACGTCTGCTAAAGGATGCATAGGGAGACATTTACATATTATTAAAACTTTTTTGCTTATATAAACACGACAGTCCATTACATTCAGTATAACGCTGTTTACAGTCTTGAAGTATCAACAGGAGCTTGGTTGGTCTATTCAGAACAACAGTTCAGATTCCAGTAACGAATGTAAACATTTACAAGTTTGAATCTGTGTTGGTTTGTTTAACGCTAGAGGGAAGTGGCAGCCAAAGTGTTTCGAACAAAAGTTATTTTGTTTCGTCTTACCTGTTGAAAGCGGGAGAGAGAGGAAAAAAAATCACACTCTGCGAGAAAGTGAAGTAGCGAAGCGGGTAGTAAACATTTGCGCTTTGGTCGCGCGAAACACAGCGACAGTGGTTTGATTCTTTTCGATAGATTGGGTGTTACATTTCGTTGAAAGTTTTCGGAGAGTTCTAATTGACCACATTCACAGTTCCGGGTTGAATTGTGTCCCTCCCGCCCCCTGGAGGAGGGAGTGGACACTCGGCTCTCCAAAAAAGTTGATGGGATTTTCTTTGAAGGACTGAGAACACCAGAAACACTGAAGTGAAACGCTCGAGTTATAATTAACCTATTCAGTGTTGGGTGTAATGCTGACTAAGTAATTAATAACTGTAATTTAATTAATGTAATTTAAGAAAAAAGTTAAGCAAGGGATTACTCTAAATTCTAAATGCTACTCCTGATGTAGTTTCATTAATAGACTATACTACAGAATAAGTTTATATGAAACAATAGTGGATTTAACACCTAAATATAATGTCTAATGTTAAAATGTAGGCTATGTTTTAAAGGAGTGGTTCACTTTAAATAAATAAAAAAAACTTTTATTTACTCAGCCCCATGTCATCCAAGATTTCCATGTCTTTCTTTCTTCAGTCGAAAAGAAAACATTCCAGGATTTTCTCCATATAATGGACTTCAATGGGAACCAAACGGTTCAAGGTCCAAATGAGAGTTGCAGTGCAGCTTCAAAGGGCTTTAAACGACACCAGATGATGAATAAGGTTCTTATCTAGAGAAACGATCGGTCATTTAAAAAATAAATAAAAAAGTTTAAGTTTTATAAGCACAAATGCTCGCCTTATTTTGTTCTATGATGAGCGTTAGTGAGTCAGTGACTCTCCTGTTCAAACTCGTTCATCAAAATGACAAATCTTTTTTCAAGTCATGACCCGAAGGGTCCTAGTCATTTGGACCTTGAACCGTTTGGTTCCCATTGAAGTCCATTATATGGAAAAAATCCTGGAATGCCAATTGTCTTTTCTGTATTTACATTGTGTTGCATTCAACTTTTTGCAGAAGTGTAATTTATTATTAACTTTTTACTTAAAAAATTACTTAACTTTTGCAGTAAATGAAAACATCCCTCTTTTGTTTTAGATTTCCTTATATAATAGCAAAACAATTTTCATACTTATTTAACCTTCAAATGATCTTCATTTCCTGTTCCTACACTGCTGGGCTTCAGGGTCTACGACCCCAACAAGAATTGATTGAGTGATAGTACAAAAAATATACATTTTTAATCATACAAATAATATATAATTTTTTTTTGTTTACTTCTCATCTATTCATCAATGCTGTGTTTTTGGAGATATAAAGTACTGTATCCATATAGACCATTTTGCAAGATGTAAACAACACTGGTCCAGAAACACTTCCTGTTTCAGTTTGTAACTATTTTCTTTATTTCACGTGTAAAGAAAACATATTAAAGATGTTTGTTTAACTTTTTGATTCAGGTTTGGGATTTGTTTTTTTGACACATGAAGAAAATTTATTTAGTTTTTTTTTCACATTTCCCATTCATTTCACTGTGGGGTCATATTGACCCCGAAGACCAGAAGTATAAACTTTTTTTTTTTTTCACATACCTTCAGAACAACCGAATCAAGCCCCGTTTATTCCACTGAGATGAACCTTTTTTTTTTATTAAGTAAAAGTCGATTGGGGTCATATAGACCCCATGACCCAATTGAGGGCTACCTTATTAATTCAGAAACTAAAAACCTAAAGTTGGTGCCTTTTTCAAAGTAGAGTGGAAATACCTTTGGATTAATCGTTGAGGGATTCAAGCATTCAAACGAACCAACCCAAGTTTTTAACCACTACACTACAACAGGCCTATTCAAGTGAAACTTGAACAGAAATGCCTGGATCTGCAGGATATGACTAAAGCACCAAGAAGCACAATGACAGACTCATAAGGAATTAAGTGAAGGAAAAGAGGGAAGCAAATACCATAAAATCAGACAAAATAAATAGCATCACAAATACAAAAAGGTCTTTTATTTCATGGGGATGACAATTCCAGTAAAGAACAAGGATTCCGGTATTTTGCAATGACACAGTGAGGATTTGAAAACTGCTCAAATTCCCTGGATATTGTAAAATTGACTCGCCCAACCCATCCATTGGGCGATAGTTACCTGCGTTATAAACTGTTTTAAAGTGCAATGTGGAGATAGAGAAAACTTGCACACTATTCATCTACTGAAAAACAGATCAGTTGGAAATCTATCGATACAAAAATAAATGGTAAATGCTTATTGTGTACAAGCATAAAAATATGATTTAGCAGATAGGAACATTAAGAAAACAAGATTTTTTGGGGGTGGTGGTGGGCAACCATTAGTAAACACGCGAGGAACCCATTCTGTTCAGACAGCGCTCATTACACAGCATGTTGATAAGCCATTTTCTCTATACTTCCCTCATAAACCCACATCCTTCTTTAGACAGTT